TATGAATGATTATGGCTTTTAAAGAATATTTTTATACATTTATTATAAAATCTGCCAAATAAAATAGGCTAATTATATTTAATGAGTAAATTCAGTTTCACTGTGCTCAACTCAAAAAAATATTTCTGCTGCTTGTTTAAACTACTCATTTGAAATGAGCCGAAACAACACAATTCTTCAGTTTTTTTTTTGACAACTTAAGTGTTTTATGTTGAAACTACTTAAATTTGTTAAAACAATTATGCTAATCAATTTGTGGAAGGAATTGTGTGGATTGTGCATTCTTTACAGTGTAGTTTCCTCTAAATACATCCAGCTCTCCATTTAACATAATTAAACATAAATGTCTGCCTAGTCAGTGTTTTATCCTTCAGCTTTTCTTCATTTCCTCATCTTCCTCATGCGCCTGTGTTTTCCTTCTCTTCACACCATCGACAGAACATCTGTGTTTGAAGTAAAGCTCGCTGTGTTTCATCTGCGCTGTGTTTCAGGTGTGAAGGTGAGCTCAGCAAATGCACAATTATAATCAGCATCCTTTATCCATCAAATCAGCTCATCTGAAGTGCCATAGCAATGCTTCAAATAACTTGCTTTTGACATTAAAATGAGCACGGTATCAGTGACTTCTGCGATTTAGGAAGTTTCATTTGCTTCTCTCAATATTTACACACGCACGCACGCACGCAGAAAAAGAGATGAAATGATCAGCACTAATACAGATTAACTGACATTAAACTAATGGAAACTCTAACCAGAAAACACAAGTAATCATGTTTGGAAACAAGATTCATTTTAAGTACTACAAGATATTGCTGTTATATTATTATTATTATTATTATTATTCAAAGTGCTGTAATGTTATCATAATAATCACATCATTATTATTTTAAAAAGAAAATATACAAGGTTTTCCCTCCAAACTGTTTTCTAAAATTGTGTTTGTGCAGATTTAGTCTATTAATGGGCTCTAAATAGACAAGTTCACTATCGTAATACACAGCAAGTCCCTTAATAAATAATATTTATACACAGTATTTAAAATATTTTATAATGCTATAAGTTACACTAAACAAACTAAATAAACCGCTTTACAGTGACAGCTAGGTATTACAAATGTTAGTGAATATTGACTGCATGTCTAAAACTAAACTGACAGTGCTGTCACTCACAAAAATAAATAAATATTATAAATATTGAGTTGAATTCAGTTTGTTTTTTTTCTGATGAACCTGCTTTCTCACCTGTTCTGTTCGACGTGAGCGCGCGTCTGAATGAATCAGTCGTATAATAAGTGAATGAGATGATCATGATCATACCTGCAGCTCTGATTAACTCCTGATCAATCCATCCGATCAGCTCGATCAGTCCAGCGGGACTCGGGGGTTCATCGATCCGGTAATCGGTTCATTCAGCGGCGTTTCCACATGATTCAGGTCCGAGCGCGAGTTCGGCGCGTGCCCGTCACTAACCGTCATTAACGGTCGAGCACAGAATATTCCCGCGTCTCCTGTTTGAATAAAGTATGATGCTGATTATGAGCCGTAAATGTGAAAGGTGAAAAGAGAAAAGACGGAGAGACGAACAGATGCTGCTCTTCCCTGAGCTTCACACACACTGACTGACAGACTGAAACACACACACACACACATCCTCTCTCATTTTCTCTCTCTCTCTCTCTCTCTCTTACACACACACACACACACACACACACACACACACACACACACACACACAAATGAAAGTACCATTCATGATATTCTCCATGATACTTCGACTACCACAGGTCTCCAAAAGTTTATGTTTCTCTTAGCATATTGTGTTTATTTTCAAGTCATAGTTATGATTATTTAAATACACTAAAGTATTAGAACAATGATATTCAGTTTTAAGATTCCAGCAATCAAACCAAAACTACCTGGATGCTATCAAAACAGCAGGAAATGAAACATTAAATGTACAAAACAATAAGTTTTGACCTATAGCCCACTACTAAACAGGCGAATATGATGGAAAACAGTTTGCATTAGGCCCATAGACAGCATAACAGCTATTTATTATAGAGTTATTACCTGGAATCTGCGCAACAAATCCGCACAGCTCGTTTAATGGCATGTTTAATGTCAGCAATACTGCACACCATGCACAAACTCTGATAGACTGAATGAGTGTGTGTGTGTGTGTGTGTGTGTGTGTGTGTGTGTGTGTGTGTGTGTGTGTGTGTGTGTGTGTGTGTGTGTGTGTGTGTGTGTGTGTGTGTGTGTGTGTGTGTGTGTGTGGCGCCATCATGTGGACGGATTTGGTCCTGCATTAATCCATTCTTGGGTCATTGAAGCTATTTTAAAAATGCATAAAACATCCATATCTTGACTCACACTGCCGCCAAGTGGAGGAAACGTGGAAACACAAAAGCAGAGATTCATTTAATTTATTTATGAGGGTTTTTTTCGTCATGAATTAAAGAATCAACAAGATTTAAAGCAAGAATTAAAACAAAACTCAACTGCTGATTGTGATAAAGGCCAGAAATGTGAGAAAACGAGTCAGATATGATTTTTAAAACCCTGCTTAAATGTGTTTTTCTTTTTAGATGAGAAATTATATTAGAATATATCATTGTGTGTATTTTATATGACTTAAATTAAACTATAAGAGCATACAGGCCCGTAGCCAGGGGGGTTCTGGTGGTTCGAAAGACCCACTGCTTACTGACAAAGGTCCAGAATTTGTCCCATATGTGAGCTCATTTGTCCTGTTTTGACTGCTGTCATCATAAAAGTTTAAATAATCCATCGAAAACCCATCAAATTAAAACTAATTAAATACAATTGTTGTTACCCGTGAATTTTTCAAATACCTTTTATTCAACAGAGGCTAAAAATGGTCAAACTCTACCTTATTGCTATTATTGTTATTTATTATCATTATTATGTATTATTATTATTATTATTATTAAAATAGCCCAGTTTTGAGTGTGGAAAGTTGAATGTGCTGGCCAGTTTGTTATTTATTATTGAATAATAAATGACAAAAGGCTTTTTTAATGTGAAATTGAATTGTATAGGATATTATACATTTGCATTTAAAAAATATGTTGTTTTTTTCATATTTCTATATTCTAAATCTAGGAAATGTTTTTGGTACATCAACAAGTGTGGTTATGAAAGCCATCCAACAAGCTAATTCTGCTAAAAATTGTTTTAAAAATGTATTTAATTCTCATAACTGAACAGAAAATGAGGTGTATAACTGCAAAAAGGTTTACTTTTTGAGAAAAAAAGAATCACCCCTTTCATCAAGCTGGCCATACGGACCTGACATATGTTTAGAGAATAGCCAGTTTTATATGGAGTATGGCAGTGTGTGGAAACATGTGTTTTGCATAAATTAAGAAGTTATACAAAAGCCATTTAAAGCAGACTGTTACCAAAGCATATATAGTTTTATATACTGGTCTAAATTAACTTATTAATGACTTAGACTGGGAGAAAGTTTGCCTTTTGCCTTTTTTGTAACCAATAAAATAAGAGAAATTTTGAAAAATTCATTCATTTAATGTCATTAAAAACATTGACTCTCTCTCTCTGTTTATATTGTTTTATATAGGTTAAAAATATAGGCATTTATATAGGTGACATTATGTGCTCTTATTAGTTAACATCTGGAAATGTGTATTTATTAAAGGAAAGAAACACTGACAGACAAAACTGCACTGTATATACAATCTTTATGTAATAAATGATATATATCTGTGTGTGTGTGTGTGTGTGTGTGTGTGTGTGTGTGTGTGTGTGTGTGTATGTGTGTGTGTGTGTGTGTGTGTGTGACATGTCAGGACACAAATATTATACTGTATAATGGAATAGGTATGACACAGGTATTACAAGAAGGAGGTGAAATGTGAGGACATTGACGTCCTCATTTCTCCAAAAGCTTCTAAATGACCCAGAGTGACTTCATTCAGGGAGTAAAGCTGTATTCAGTCTTCTGTGATGGTTGGGTTTAGGGCTTGGATGGGGTTGGGGCGATACAAAATACAGTTTGTGCAGAATAAAAACAATGGAACCCTATGCAATGTGCCCACAATTCATAAAAACACACGTGTGTGTGTGTGTGTGTGTGTGTGTGTGTGTGTGTGTGTGTGTGTGTGCGTGTGTGTGTGTGTGTGTGTGTGCGTGTGTGTGTGTGCGTGTCTGTGTGTGCGTGTGTTTTGTTTATTTTTCCCTATGTTTATTTGATTTTGGCAAGTGTTATGTGTAATGTTTTCTGAATCTAAAGCATATAAATAAATAAATAGCACTCCTGTACAGTCATAAAAGTGCCCAGCAGATGGCGCACGGTCATCAAAACAACATTAGTTTGGAAATAAAGTCACTCTGTTGAAAAATATAGCTGTGTTATTTACCCAAACAACGAGAGCACGTGACCATATTGTTCTTCCACACTTATAAGCATTTCTCGCGTATGTGTTTACGTTCATTATTCGATGTTATAAACACTGAATTGGCGGTTGATAAACAAAAGCAATCAGACAAATAAACACATATATAAAACGCCATGCACTTCCCAGACGGATCTGACCGCAGATCAGCCGTTTGCTGACCACGATCCGCGATTTCCCTTTTAAAGGGACAGTTCACTCCAAATTAATTATACTGTAATCACTTACTCCAAACCTTTACGAGTTTCTTCTGTTCTGCGAGATTTCTTCTGTTCAACTCAAAATATGAAGAACACTGAAAACCTGTAACCATTGACTTCCATTGCCTTTCCTACTATGGAAGTGA